AGGAAGGAAGGAAGGAAGGAAGGAAGGAAGGAAGGAAGGAAGGAAGGAAGGAAGGAAGGAGAAAGAGAGAGAAACAGATGGACTAGCAGTTTATTAAGAGCTCAGATTACTTTTAATTCTCTTTGGAATGGGATTATTCACTCCCTTCAATTTAATGCAGTGAAACTGTTATATGTCAGGGAAGAAAAGTCAATTTTAATTGGTTAGATAGGCCTCACAATTTGAATCTGGATCATATCTCAGGAAGGAAGGATCGACTATCAAGGGTTAGGGTTAATGTTAGGGTTAGGGTCACGACCACTTCCACCAACGTTGACTGGGAAAGCCACTCTCTTCTAGTATGGATGATATTATCAAGCTTGGTAACAAAACATCTGCAAGAAAACCACCAAGCTCAGAGAGTACCAAGGACCCCACAGTAGTCTTCCTCTTCCTCCTCCCCCTCCTCCCCACAAACCTCACTCCCTTCTAACATTGATATTATAGAGACGGTCACGAGACATTTGTAAAAAAATCTGCCAAGCTCAGGGAGCTCTGACCCCACCGTTTTTCTCCTTCTTTTACTCCTTCCTTCCTCCATCCTCCCATTTTCTACCTTCTCTCATTTCCCCCTTCCTCCCCCTCATCCTTCTTCCCCCTCTTCTCTTTCCTTCCTTCCTTCCTTCCTTCCTTCCTTCCTTCCTTCCTTCCTTCCTTCCTTCCTTCCTTCCTTCCTTCCTTCCTTCCTCCCCTCCCTCCATCCCTGCCTCTCCCTTCCCTCCACCCCTTCCTTCTCCTCCCCCTCTGTCTACTAACTGACCTGCACTCCCTAGTACCCACCAAGAGCATTCATGCACAACTCCCATACATCTTACCCTGCATGGTTTAGCAACAACAACCAAAGTCCCAACTGCCACTGGAGACAACCTGTACAAGTAATCCTCAATTTACAACAATTCAGTTAAAATTGCTCATTGTTCCAACCACACTGAAAAAAAGCAAGTCATCCTCGTAGTGATGACCATCATTGCATCCTCTCAGTGACATGATCAAAATTCGGGAGCTTGGCAATCGGCATGTATTTATGACAGTTACAATATCTTGGAGTCATGTGATTATCATTTGTGACCAGCAGCTTGCTTCTTTCTGACCAGCAAAATCAAAGCAGGAAGCCAGATTTGCTTAACAACCACATGATTCACTTAACAACTGCCATGATTCATTTAACAACGGTGGAAAAAGTCAAAGAAGAAAGTTGGATTCGCTTAATGATCACATGATTCACACAGCAACTGCCATGATTCACTTACCAACCACGGCAAAATTGGCTGTAAAATCGTGCACCAGCAATGTGAGACCCTGTTGTTGCGCTACCAACTAAAAAGTGACTAAAACCTACGCTCCTAACCTTGATTGCTGTTTGATATTTCTGGATCCGGTTTATGGGTCTCTCTAGATAGTGTTGGAGAGGGAGTATCGGCGGCAGGGAAGGATCCTCACTGGCCAACGTCCCTTCTGTGTATCTCTGGAGGGAGAGAAACATAATAGTAAAGGGTTTATTAATCCAGTTTGCTTACCATCCCAGAAAGTCCTTCATTCCTTTACAGACTACACAATTATTCTATGTTTCACGCTGAATTTTCCTATTATTGTTCTAATAAAGAAGCGACTTTCTTCATTAGGAGCATTTCAGCACCATACAAATAGAATGATCTTATCCATATATTGCTCTGGCTTGCTATAAAGATGCATAATCCTTTATTTTTATGTCACCTTTAAAAAATAATAATCTCAAGATGGCACACATACCGAATAATTTCTTCCTCCACCTATTTTCCTCACAACAATAACAACCATGTGAAGTGGGATGGCCTGAGAGTGAAGGACTGGCTTAAAATTAACCAATTGGCTTTCATGCCTAAGGCAAGACTACAATTCACCATCACCTGGCGATTAGCACAGAGGCATCCAGACAGCTTTCATGCTTAAGGTGGGGCTAGAACTGCCACCTTAGGGGATTTGTTGGAGCCCTGACATTCACCATCACCTGGTGATTGAGCCAAGGTCACCCAGCTGGCTTTTATGCCTAAAATGGTACTAGAACTCACCATTTCCTGGTTTCTAGCCTGGTGCCTTCACTACTAGAGCAAACTGGTTCACCAAGGTATAATATACGCTTGATGTACAAATATAGGACTATTTCCAAAGAATTCTGGGTCATTACTTTTCATGTGGGTGAAATGTCCAACAGAAGACTCTTCCAGTTGAGGGTGCCCTCACCTTATAAAATTCCTGGACTGCTTTGCTGACCACAATGGACTCAGCTTGAACTCGGCCCACCAAATAGGTGATGTATTTGTCAAATTCAGTTTCATTTTTAAGGAAGCACATGGCCACGTCATCATCCGTATCACACTTCTGAAGCTCTGGGAAGAAGGTGCTGCGGGGAAAAAAGTAGAAAGGAGCATGAGAACTGGATGTGGGCAGTGGGGTGGACTAAAAGACCTCTAAAGTGCCTTCCAGCCCTGTGATTGGATGATCTTCCAATTCCTGGCTTTCTTCCCAGCTAAAGCATCCTTTGTCATTCAACTTAACAGTAGTTAAACGCCATCCAACTCGCCCTGTCCAAATGCTTTTTTAAAAAAATCCAGAGAGTTAAAAAAAAGTCAAAATGGCAGACCAGAACTCAAAACTCAACCTGTTTTTATTTCTGCCATTCACATGAACCCTGTAAACAACCTGAAAACAAGTCCTTAAGACAACAGAGTGAGAGAAACAAAGAAAAGATACGTTGCTTTTCCGGGAAACAAGATTCTGGGTGCCAACATTGAAAAGGCCCTACACTTAAATGATCTCAGTGCAAGGAAAAAATTAGACCCGGTAGCCTCAGTACAGGTAGTCCTCAATTTACAACAGTTCATTTAGTGGCAATTCAAAGTTATAATGGTACTGAAAAAAGTGATTTATGACCATTTTTCACACTTACGACTGTTGAAGCATCCCCAGCGTCATGTGATGAAAATTAAGAACGCTTGACAACTGGCTCATATTTATGACGTATGCAATGTCCTGGTGTCACGTGATCCCCTTTTGCGACCAAATAGGGGAAGTCATTCACTTCACAACCATATCAGTAACAGAACTACTGCGGTGATTCACTTAACGACTGTGGCAAGAAAGGTTGTAAAATGGGGCAAAACTCACTTAACAAATGTCTCACTGAGTAACAAACATTTGGGGCTCAATGGTGGTCATAAATCAAGGACTACCTATAAAGCAAAATAATAATAATGTGGCTAATATATCAGAAGACATGGTTTTATAAAACTTTGCTTGAGTGGATAGCGGCACACAGGGATGCAGGCCTTCTTATTAAACCACTTTTTTAGTATATTTCGTTCTTTAAAAGCCGTTTGGCTGTTATAGATCTACGTACTTGGAATGAAAATGTGTTATGTCAGTAATATTTCTGAAAATAACAGGCTTCTGGTTGGATACAGCAACAGGAACAGCAGGACAAGTCTCGGTGAACTGGATGTGGTGTGTTTGGAGGAATTGAAGATCCTTGACATATTCCTCTTCTGTGCCCAGCAGGTCTTGAATGATAAGGCTAAAAAGGAAGCAGAAACAGAAAAACGAGTGAAAATTCATGAAAACACATCCCATCCTTTGAAGGTGACCATCAGGGAAATTCATTCTAAAATTCAACAGATAAGCATGAAAGTACAAGGTAGTCCTTGACGTATGACCACAATCAAGTCTAAAATTTCCGTTGCTAAGCGAGACAGTTATTAAGTTAATTTTGCCCCATTTTACAACTACTCTTGCCACAATTGTTAAGTGAATCTCTGCAATAACACGATTGTGATGTGAATCTGGATTCCTCATTGATTTTGCTTGTCAAATTGTCACAAAAGGGGATCGTGACCCTGGGACACCACAACTGTCATAAATATGTGTCAGCTGCCAAGTATCTGAATTTTGATCATGTGTCCATGGGGTTTCTGCAACGGTCGTTAAGTGTGATAAATGGTCATAAGTCACTTTTTTCAGTGCCTTTGTAACTTTGAATGGTCACTAAATGAACTATGGAGGACTACCTGTATCTACTTGTGGCAGGTAGATGCTGCTATGTGCCAGAAATGCAAACCGGCAGAGGGGCCCCTGCCCACGTTGTTACCCTGGGAGCTTCTGGGATAACAAAGAGGCAGGAGTGACTTACAGAAGTGACTCATGAGATTCCCTGCCGGCTTCCCCAATGACTTTGCTGATGGGAAGCCAGCTGGAAAGATCACAAGATCATCTTTATTGTCATTTTTTACGGTGAGCACACTGGCATACGTTAAAAATGAAATTTTGTTGCCTGCTCTCAAAAGAAAGTATATATCTACCCATATACATACATAACACACATATATACATGACACACAAATACACATCACTGTTTATTTTGAATACACAATGGAAAGAGGAAACATGAGAGTTCACAAGGTGGATGCTAGATGAAACAAAACTGTGATTGAATCTAGATGTTCGGATACCACAAAGCCTCCTTCAAAATGCTCTGGTCCAATGGATGCTGCACATGGTGGGGTTTATACACGATGACCTCTAAGTTCCTTCCCATGCTGTGATTTTATGAAATGATTCTTTTACACCAGCTATAAGAGTAGGACACAGCCCTTCAGACAGAGAAGAAGTTTGCTCCAATAGGAAGAATTTTCACCAAGCTCACCTTAATTTCTTCCGATATTCATCCTCGGAAACAGATTCTCCATGGAACTCTGGAACATCCGGTATACCCCACTCTGCAGAGAGCTAATATTTGGAAAAAAAAAAAACAGCATTTAAGGATTTCAGCCTTGGGCAAGGAATTGGGCTAGAAGACCTCCAAGGCCCCTTCCAGCCTTAGGATTTTATGATCTAGTATCTACCAGGAAGGGATGTCCTTAAGATAGCTTTCGAGTCTTCCAGCCAAGGTGCAAAGGATAGAAAGTAGCTGGGTTATAGCGGCAGCCTGGGAGCTTCCATCTTGACTTAGGAGGGACTCTAGCCCCTATTACGTTCAGATGTTCCTGTACGCAACTTTTTGCATTCAATATATGGTGTCCTGCCTGAATCTTACACCACCCTGCCACCATCTTTCCACAGTCTGCATATTAGGCCTTGTGTAGTGGGGTAGACACACCCTCCCCACCGCTTCTATGGATCTGGTGCTTAATGTCTAAATTTTTTCTTCCCTGCTCTCCTGAAATGCACATTTCCCTTGTTTTCCTTCTTCTTCCACACAGGCTGCGTCAAAGAAGGAAACACAATGACCCCGGGACAATCAACTGTCATAAATATGAGCCAGTTGCTAAGCAACTGAATTTAAATCATGTGACCATGGGGATGCTGTAATGGTTGTAAGTGTGAAAAACATCCATAAGTCACTTTTCAGTGCTATTGTAACTTCGAATGGTCACTAAATGAATGGTTATAAATTCAGAACTTCTTGTACTTTATACATGAACTATAGTAATTCTTTACTGAAACTGCTGGGTAGAAGTAATTATTACCCAGTAACTGCTGGGTAATTATTCATGGTAACCTAGAGACCAGAGGCATAAGATTAAGCAATTTTGAAAGAAGAAGAAAAAGAAACCCAACTATTTATAAGTCTCACCTTTAACTTCTTATCCAAATAGGCTGGAGAAACCCAACCTTGTCTCGATGGGCTTGACTTGGTGGGTTTCGTCCTGACCAGCCACTTCAAAGGATGAGCAGAGTCTAAAACCTCCACGTATTGCCCTTCCTTCAGAGTGATGGTTTCACGGTCTGCCCCCATTGGGTTATAGTCAGCAATGACCATGTAGATGTCAAAAATCTATGAAGAGAAGAATGAATTGAATTGAATACATCAAATCAATAGAGAATCCAGATGGAATGGAATAGAGAACAGGGAATGGACTGGACTGGACTAGATTAGACTAGAGTAGGAATAGACTAGACTAGACTAGAACAGAACAGAACAAAACAGAACAGGATAAATACTTTATTCCTGAGGTTAGTTCAGAAACGGTTGTCAGGTGCAAACAATCAGACGCACACAGGCAGAGCTCAAGCTGACTACTTTATTGTATTCTACCTATAATACAGGAATCTGCATAGACTGGCAGCTTTCACCTGGGAACAACCAGATAAGGTATCAAGGCATTTAAGAGGGTCATACTTAGCCTCTTGTGTTTGATGATGATGATGATGAATTAATCCAGGCTAATTCCTTGCTTCAGCCCTCTTTCCAGTGGGAGGATTGCTCTCCAACAACCATTGCATTAGATCAGGGGTCATAGTAGAAGAAAATATTTGCAGCTCAGGATTGAACTAAGGGTCCTCTCGCGGGCCAGGGGCCATTACCACATCACGGCCTTTTTGGAACCGGACCATGCTAGCGGAGGGCTGGTGCATATGACTGGGTGCATATATGCCTGTGCACCAGTCTGCGCAAGTTGAACTGCACAAGTTGAGCTCAATACTTGGGTGGCCCAGTGCCCCTCTCCCCACCCCAGTGGGCCACCAATCTGTAAAGGTGGGGACCACTGCTCTCTGAGCTTGGTTTTTCCTGGCAGACGTTTCATGACCCATCTAGGTAACATCATCAGTGCTACAAGGAAGGAGGGTTTTCAGGGAGGAGCAGGACTGGGAGGTCCTTGAAAACTGACCTTAATTGTTTTTATGTAGATGTTTCATTAGCAAACTAGGTTACACCATCAGTTCTAGAGGAGGCTAGGCTATAAAAGAGAGAACAAATCTTCCTCCCTTCTAGCGTTGACGATGTGGCCTAATTTGGTAATGAAATGTCTGCAATGAAACAACCAAACTCAGAGAGCACCAAGGACTCACAGGGCTTGTCCCTATTCTCTTCCTCTTCCTGCTCCTCCTCTTCTCCCTACAATTCCCCTCCTTTCCAGCATCGATGATGTTCCCCCGTTGGGTCATGAAATGTCTGCAAGGAAAACCACCAAGCTCAGAGAGCACCAAGGATCCCACCAATCATTTCTCAGATTCACTCCAAACTAGAGTCTTATTTTTCTCCCGATGGGAAAACTTGCATGAACTTTGCAGATGCCCTACCTCTCCCCTTGCGTCCCCTTCATCGGATTCGGAGGAAGATTCCTGAGCAGTGGAGGAAGGTCTGGACCTGCCGTGCCGCGGAGACGCCGATGGTGTTTTTGATTCATCGTCACTGTCAGCCCCAGGAACTCGGAGGGAAGCTGAAATGGAAGGGAAAGGGAATAAAAACTGTTGTCGGGGAGGCATGCCATCCTTTTGAACAATTCCAATCTTAAAACATGCTCAGGTGTATTTTGTTCAGCCTTCCCAATTTCTGTCCTGTAGACATGCCAGACTTTCTCCAGATTTATAGGCTATTGAAGGAAGTTCTCAGCAAAGAATTAAGTAAAGAACACAGGTAGTCCTTGACTTGCCACAGTTCACTCCGTGACCATTCCAAGTTGCAAAGCGCCAGTAAGCAAGACAAGAAGAAAATGGATGAAAAATAATCAAGGAGAGAAGCAACCTGGAATTAAGGAGAAACTTTCTAACTGTGAGAATAATTAACCAGCGGAACGGCTTTTCTCCAGAAATTGTGGGTGCACCATCACTGGGGGCTTTTAAGAGGAGACTGGAGAGCCATTTGTCTGAAATGGTATAGGGCAGTGATGGCTAACCTTTTTGTCCTTGCGTGCCGAAAGTGTGTGTGAGTGCGCACGCACACGGTTGCCTGCACCCATGATGCAATGTGCGCGCAACCCCCTGCCCCTGGCATGCGGGCCTCAGCATATGCGCATGCACCCCCATGCATGCGCCCTGCACGTGCACGCATCTCCCATGTGCGCCCTGCCCCCTGCACCTGCATGGCAAATAGCAGACAATCTGCTGGCTGGCAGGAGGCTTGCGTGCATGCGCAGTGCATCTCTTCCGGGCGACGGCTCACGTGCCGGCAGAAATGGCTCTGTGTACCGCTTCCGGCACGCATGCCATAGGTTCGCCATCACAGGTATAGGGTCTCCTGCTTGGGCAGGGGGGTACACTAGAAAACCTCCCAGGTTTCTTCCACTTCTAATCTGATTGCAAGAGCAACGAAACAAGTGACTTAGACCACTTTTCACACTTACAAATGTTGCAATGACCCCTTGGTCATATGACCAAAACTCAGACGATTGGCAAATGTTTTATATTTATGACGGTTGCAATGTCCTGGAATCATGTGATCCCCTTTTGTGACCTTCTGACAAGCAAAGTCAAGGGGGGGAGACAGATTCACTTAACAACCATGTCACTAACTTAACAACTGCAATACTTCACTTAACAACTATGGCAAGAAAGGTTGTAAAATGGGACAAAATTCACAACATCTGTTCTACTTACCAACAGAAATGTTGCGTTCAATTGGGGTCTCTATGTACAACATGCATGATAAAAGAGCCGTTGGAAGGGACCTTGGGGGTCTTCTAGTACAACCCTGCGCAAACCCTATAAGATTTCAGACAAGTGGCTGTCTAATCTTTTCTTGAAAAACTCCAATGATGCAGCACCCACAATTTCTGGAGGCAAGTCCTTCCACCGATTAATTGTTCTCACCATCAGGAAATTCCTCTTGAATTCCAGGTTGCTTCTCTCCTTGAAGAGTTTCATCCATTATTTCTTATCCTGCGTTTAAATGCTTTGGAGAATAGGTTGGCCCCCTCAAATAGTGGAAAACGCTGTCATGTCGTCCCTGGTCCTTTTCTTCATCCAAGTAGACATCCCCAGTTCCCTCAATTGTTTCATTATAGGCAGGATTGGGACTCAAAAATCCCAGCAATTGGTTCTCTGCTGGGTGATTGCGGGGTGGGCGTGGCCATGGTGCGCCTGGCCTACCAGAACTTCCGGGAGGGCCATTTTTTTGCCTTTCCCAGAGTCTGGAGGCTTCCCTCAGGCCTCTGGGAGGGTGAAAACTGGCTCCCCTCGGCTCTGGAAGCCGGAAACAGGCTCCTTTCCGGACTTCCAGAACATCTAATTCAGTCCATTTTTTGCCCTCTGTGCAGACCCTGCACTTACCTGCATCCAAAATGGGCAGCGTGGAGACTCCTGGGAGGGGAGGGGAAGGCAGGGGAGGGGAGGGCCAGCCAGTTGGTTCAACTACCAGTTCGGCAAACCAAATGTAAATTTAACATCCAGTTAAATCAGGCCGAACCAGCTGAATCCCACCTCTGATTATATGGCTTTGCCACCGGTTTCTTGATCATCTCTGTGCTCGCAAGCAAACATTTCTCATTGCAAATCTAAGGGATTGTTCTAACAAGGTAACAAATTTTGGCCTTATATCCCTGTCTATCAATTTGATTTAACGTCCACTCAGGTAATTTTCCCTCCCCGTCCCCAATAGTCCTGTCTCAAACTTACAGCCTCAAACCCAATATTTACAAGTGTTTTCCTGCATTTCGTTCACTTGAACCGGTATTACCTTGACTTATCTTTGCAGATACAATTTCCGTGATCTGAGATGTCAGTTTCTGCAGAAATTCCTCGGTTCCCACTTCGGTTAGAGAAATCTGACTCTGGACTGTTTCACGTCCCATGTGCTCCCCTGGTAAAGAAGAAAGAACATGGTGCTTGGTCACAGACAAGACAGACGTAAGTGGTGAAGGCATCAAGCTAGAAAATGGAAGAGGCTGAATTCTAGTCCCCGATTAAGCACGAAAGCTGGCTAGGTGACAGTGGGCCAATCACCAGGAGACAGGGAGTTCAAGTCCCATCTTAGGCTTCAAAACCAGCTAGGTGACTTTGGGCCAATCACTAGGAGAATGGGAACCGTAGTCCCATTTTAGGCATGAAAACCAGCTGGATGACATTGGGCCAATCACCAGGAAACAGTGAGTTGTAGCACTGCAGCAAAGGCATGAAAATTGGCTTGGTAACTTTGGGCCAGTCCCTTTCTCTCAGCCCAACCCATCTCACAGGGTTGTTGTTGTGGGGATAATAGGAGGAGGAAGGTATGTTAGATATGTTTGTCATCTTGAGCTATTTGTAAAAATAATAAAGGTGGGATATAAATATAAAGTTTGAATCATTGATTTGATTCTGAAAAAAATCATTCTCTTTATTCCGATTCAGTTTATGTCCAAGACCACGTTGGGTTTACGCTGTTGATCTGATTTAGAGATTTTGTAATATCATCTCTGGACAGACCTACAATTTCCAAAGCCCTTCTGTAGATCTGAACAAGCAAAAGATGCTTCACCTCTAACCATTATTTATGTTTTATTATTACAAAATGAAATAATCTAAAGTGTGAGAGACAAATTTTAGATTTATCTTTTTAATGGAAGATTGATTATTATTAGAGAAGACTCAATGAAATAGAAACCAGAGTTACATGAAAATATTGCACATTTCAAAATCACCATATTTAAACTTTTTATAGGTTTTCCTACCTTTTCTGACTTCAGAAGTTTGAGCTCTGAAAAAAAGGAAAAACAAGTCTCATTCTTTTCCTAGCCATTTTTCCTGACCAATATTGAATCTGGAAGCCAAAGTGGATAGAGGGCAGTGGGGCTGTCTGTAAGCATTAATTGCTTATTGAGGAAAGAAGGAAGGGAGAGAGGGAAGGAAGGAAGGAGGAAGGAAGGAAGGGAGGAGAGGGAAAAGGATAAAGGAAAGGGGAAAGAAAGGAACAAGAAAAAGGAAAGAAAGAAGGAAGGAAGGAAGGAAGGAAGGAAGGAAGGAATCCTCTAAAGGGATAATTTAAGCAAATAATTGTTCCAGCATCCCATGGCATAATTAATAAAAAACATTTTAAAGTGTTTCAATGTTTTTTTTTAAAATCACCACAACTATCTTATAGTCAGGAGTGGGATTCAATTTTTTTAACAACCAGTTCTGTGGGCGTGGCTTAATTGGTAGGTGCGGCTTGGTGGTCATGTGGCTTGGTGGACATGGCTTGGTGGTCATGTTATTGGATGGGTGTGGCCAACTCAACATCACTCACATGGAGGCACGCATCTCCTCGCCTGGCCTCTCGTGACTGTGGGGATGCTGCAACAGTTGTAAGTGTGAAAAATGGTCATAAGTCCCTTTTTTCAGTGCCACTGTAACTTTGAATGGTCCCTCCACACAAGCAAAGTACCAGCAAAGGAGGGGAAAAAAACTCTAGAGAAGTTCCAGAGACAGGAAGTCTAGTCCTTTCAAGAGTGTAATAAGGGTTAACGGAGGGGCAGTTTCTGTAAGCAACACCAGAATGTTTCCTTCCGGCCTTCCTTACAGGATTAGCCCAGTAATTCCTTCTAACAACCGGTTCTCCCAACTGCTTAGAATGTTAACAACCGGTTCTAGTGAATAGGTGCAAACTGGTACAATCCCACCCTTGGTTATAATCTTTGAACAAGTCAGCCTTTCAATGTCATCCCAAATAGAGATAGGCTATACATCTCTGGGCAACACTGATTAAAATGATTCATAGTCTTTTTCTTTCATTGCTGTCTTCATAATTGCAACCAGCAAGTTAGTGCAAACGTGCTTTTAAAGAAACTTCAACGACAGTGCATTTTATACCCCAGCAGGAAAAAAGGGTCCTTTGAGACTTAGGTTTTGGTTCCCAGCAATTCAGCAAAGTGAAGGATTGGGAACTCAAGATTTTTGTACTGGATTAATTAAAATAATAATGTTATGAGCATCATATGTTTTCATTAATATCTGGCCAGGCCATGACATGCTTACCCAATTGATGTCATGATGGCCTCTGTCACCATCACACGCTCCTGAGTCAGAGATTCAGCCTCTTTCACTGCAAAAGAAGGCAGCACTGATGATGTTACCTAGTTTGGTAATGAAATGTCGGCAAGAAAACTATAATGCTCAGAGAGCACCAAGGACTCCATGGTTACTGTCATCCTCCTCCTCCGTTCCCATTCTCTTCCTCCTGCCCACAAACCCATCTGTCTTCCGTATGTATAGGACATGATAGGTGTATGTAGGTAGAGGGGTGGATGGAGAAAGGATGGATGGATGTGTGAGAACCAAATAAGGGCCTACTGTTTTATATGAATCGATGAAGCCCCAAGGCATAGTTATGAACCAAAGCATGGAAAATTTTAAAAGTACGAAGGAAATATTCGTAAGAATGTCAGAATGTTACTGGAACATGTTTTTGAAACTGAAGGAAGTTTCATACGTATGTTTGGAAAACAATGGTTGCGACCAAAGGAAATGTAGGAACTGAGTGTAGCAGGTGCAGAACGGTTTCAGATATATCTGGACACATGTTTAAACCTGATGGTCAGCAAAAGAACAGGGAAGTGAAATTATGAAAGGAGGGTGGACGTTGGAAGAAAAGTATAAAAGATGTGGATAAATGTCAGAACAGGGCCCAGTGGCCGCAGCTGTCTTCTTGACTTGCTATGTCTTTTGAACCCCATTGCAATGGCTTATTGGTGTAAGTGTATTATTACTGTTATGCTTTTACCTGTTTCATATATATGTCTCTTCTGTATTAAATTGTTAGAATAAATAAACCTCTGATTCCAAGGCAAGAATCTTTGTGTGTGGTTGCTGCCTCTGTTTCATTGCTGAATTTTTATGATAGATGGATGGATGACAAATAAAATATCAAGATATAGAGATATAGATAGATAGATAGATAGATAGATAGATAGATAGATAGATAGATA